TACGGAAGCAGCTAAGGAAAAATTCGATACGGAGCAGTTTATAGGTGTCAGGGTTCTATTGAATCGGGCAGCTTTAATGGGTTTTAGGAGAGGGCTGCGTGATAGTAATATTAGGACATTAATGATAAGGGAGAGGGAGGATAATTTAAGGAAAGCCATTGATATTGCGTCTGGGATAGAGAGAGAGTTTGAATATGAGAAACACTCGGTTTAATGTACCACCTCACCAGGAAATCAGGTGTAGTAATTGCAGGAAAACGGGACACACGGAAAGACAGTGCCGTCGGAACAGCTTCGATCATGTCCCTAAGGATACGCGTCCCCCGGCTCCCTTACTCTCCGCGAACCTAGGGGCTAACCCTTTAAACTCCAAGGGGATCCCGTCAACGGGCGCGATATGGAGGGAACCCCTGATTCCTCGCGCCGAGTCCACTGCATTTGTTACGAAACAGGTTTGAATCGTGTCGCGCAATTACCAACCATCTCCTTGACCCACAATCACTTCCACCGCGGCTCCGCTGAATTTCTGGTCGACACCGGCTCCCAACTTAACCTAATTAAACAGAAAGAATTAAAATCAGACCCACTGACTAATATTAAAGTAATTTATGCAAAAGGAGGAAAAGGAAGTAAAGTAGTTTTGGAACATACCAAAAGGGACGCTGAAAAAAATGCTGACTAAACTTTGATAAATATTTATAAAATATATCTTACCACGTGAAATTTGCGGTAACCGTCGATCGACGTCTTCCTCTGTTCGTACGGCCCCAGGGAAAAATGATAATTTATCAACAGAATCGGACGATCATCCTCTATGAAGAGGCTCGAAACGAACGAGAGGCGCGATAGGAACGGAACCCGAAAGAAGAGATATACTCTGAAAAGTTGGTCGCCCCATGTCTCTCTCCGTTATATGTGTAGATTGATTGCGAAACCGCGCGTTTAGCCGATCATCCGGTCCACGAATGCCTTTCTTTCGAATTTATTTGTAGAATTTGCGAGTATAGTAGACTATCAAGAATTAACGAAAATCGGATCGGGTAGTTCTATTATAAACGTAGTTCTTCAATTTTGAAAAGCGACGGTAGGACGTTAAGATATCAGCCGGTTACGCCTAGCGAGCGTTTCGCATCGAACAAATGAAAAGAGAGAGGCACTTTGGCGAGGTGCTAAAACCCTATCATTGATATCTTTTCCTCCGAGGAAGCAAAACGCCGGACTGGCTCTTCAAGCAGAAAAATGTCGTTTCCTGCAAAAGAAAAGTGCATATTTAAGTCATAAGACTACTCGCGGAGGAATGAAACCTGATATTGTCTGATTTGCCTATCGTAATTCCGTCGTCGCCGACATAAATTCCAGTCATGCTCCCAATTCCCAATTGAATTCCTCTGAGACAGACGAAACTCCTAATTCTTGTTCGAGGCGTCTGGAAGAGATACTCGTCTGCGCAGACGAGCCATCGATTGCAGATTCCGACGTGAACGAGAAGAACGACAGATTTCGCGAGTATAATAATGAAGTAATGGTAGCTTCTGTTTTCCTGGCGCGCGGGAAGGCAGAGGTTGGACGGAATGAGGTCAAGGGCGAAATTTTGAGAAATTTTAATGTCAACAAAGATAATACGGATTTTGAGGGATCACTCCAGCTGGACATTGTGGACCAGCTTCCATTCGGACATGGGTTGGACGGCGAGACCGAACCCCCGGCAGCCGCTTCACATTCCGTTGGAAGTGGCCTATGTTCAGTAAAGGTGCCTGCGCTCTGTCCGGCCCTTGAGGAGACATCGCAGGGCCTGCGGTATCTTGAATCGTGGCAGAGACGTGGGGAGTCTGTTAGTTTCCCAGCTTATGCTGTGGGAGAGGCTTTGATGCCGGATATTTTCTCGACTAATGTCGTGGCAGAGGCTGACGAGCCTGATAATTTCTCGACTTATGTCGTGGCAGAGGCTGTTGAGCCTGGTAAAATTGCGACCAAGACCGCACGGAGGACCCTCGGTAGAATGACCTCAATAAAATCTAAGGGAAATGAATCAGAGCTTGACGACGATTGCGATAATATGCAGAAAGAAGATAGAATATTAATTACTGATATTTTACATGGACAGACGACACACCCCTCTCTATTTCCCACTATCCTTACCACCAAAGATTATCTGTTCATGCGCAGAGACAATATCATTCACTTCCTACCTCTTGATTGTAGTATAGATTCACAAGTTAGCAAGGATTTGCTATTAAGAAATAGGTTTTCCATCGATACCTTTTAACCCTCCAGGATAATCTGACCAAGTATTCGGATGCCATTCCTTTATCTAATATTGATTCTGTATCTGTAGCAGTCGCTCTCGCCGAACAGTTTATTAGCAGGTTTGGTTGTCCTAGAGCCATTCATACGGATCAGGGTAGTAATTTCATTAGTAAAGTAATGAGAAGTTTTGCAGGATTTTTAAAATTCGTAGGATTACCTCCACCGCTTTTCATCCTCAATCATTGGGGTCTTTAGAGCGCGCCCACCGTGTTTTCATTGATTATCTAAAACATTATTGCACAAAATCAGATTGGGATGATTGGATCAGATTCGGGATATTTTCCTATAACACCTCTGTGCATGAAGCCACCGGTTTCACTCCCCATGAGCTTGGTTTCGGCGTAAAGGCCATTATTCCCACTGAATTTGCCAAACGGGAAGTTCCACGAACTTTCATTGAATATTTAGATCAGCTTTTCATGAAACTCACTACCACCCAAGCCACAGCGGCAAATAACCTTGAAAAAGCAAAAGAAAGGAGTAAGCAGTATTATGATAAGAATGTTAATCCTCGCCAATTCTGTGTAAACGATGATGTATATTTACTTAAGGAACCCAAAACCTCCAAATTCGACTCGAGCTGGACGGGTCCTTATAAGATTATTCAAATGTACGATGATTTAACGATAGAAATAGCAATATCAGCGAATAAATCTAAGATAGTTCATGCGAACAAGCTTAAACTAGCATGTACAAGACTAGATATTACTGATTCTGGAGATTAATGTTAATATTATGTATGCGTAATCTAAGTTTCATTTTATAAGTGTGGTTATTATGTTATGGGTTATGTTTATTTTAGATCGGATAAGAATTATAACGTTTTTGGATAAATATTTAGTCAAGTTTAGTTAGGGAGCTCTATTAATACTGGACACTAGCTATGCGTTACATTATAATCGATTTAATATTACCTAGTAATAGAATATATCTTGCTACTGTAATGCTGTGGTATAACTATCATTCTTCGACTCGTGCTTCCTGCGGGACAATGGGTGGACCGAGTAGCTCGTTTACCGCGGGGCTGGTGCGGGAAGAGGAGGCGTAGTTATAATCACATAAGTGAAATATGTATTCATTCCATTTTCATATACTTAAGTATTATTATATATTGTTTTCCTTTTAAAAGATGTTTCCATTGGAAACACCTTTTCTATATGGAGGGAGGTGTTGCGTGACCACGCGAACGTAGCCCCAGAAATATAATAATCGATAGGTAAATTAGGAGCGAAATTCAAAAGCGGATGGTTATGCGTGATTGAGAGAATATTGTTAAGGATGCGCGATGCTGGTGGCACGCGTGGGAAAGATCTTGGGTAGAGCTCGAAAACAGGAAGAGGACACCAATTAGCAGACCCCGAAACGAATCGCGAGTTTCTTGTAAGTCACGTAACCTCTTGAAAAGGCCTTGTCCTTTTGTTAGTCTTAGGAGCGTCGATCGACTCCAGAAATGTTGGCAACGCTAAGGAAGTCATAAATTTCCTTCAAGGGTTGTTCTCTCGATCCTCGGAGCAGAGCCTATTTTCTCTTCCCACGTAGGCACCCCGCTGTGTAACGGAAAAGCGCGACTCCACCGAGTTCCCACCACCACCCGAAGACGGAGGGAAAGTTAGACGCCGATTCGCGGGGGCGTGCGTGCATCGGAAGGACGGCCTACCGCTTGGATCTGATGCGTCCTTCACCCTGATTGGACTACGAGGATCTATGGGAGGACTAGGAGGATTTGGCCAACGACTTCGGCGAGGACCTCGGAGGTGACTTCGAAACGCTACGATTTTTCTTATGTCATTGCGTCTCTAACCGGCCTTCGGACCAGTAGAATAAAGTACGAAGTTACCTAACGAAAGAGTTCTCTTGTCTAGTTTTATTAAATTCCCACACTCCGACAAGCAGAGCGGTTCTGCGCTCCACGGGCACCAACCCGCGTTCTTATCTCAAATTCCCCGCTAAAATACGCGACATTATACGAACTGAAATACCAACCTTATAAAAAATCAGTGATTTTAGAGCATCTTCTTCATTTAAATCAATGACGCTAAGAACTATAGTCAACTCTTCCACTCAAGTCGGTAGTCCTAACAAACGGAGAAAGTTTGAGAAAGAGTTATAAAAGCTGAAGTTATTTTTCATTGAATAATTACAATTTAACCAATGTTCTTTAAGATTATTGGTTAATTTCAGTGTTGCTTTTTTGGTTAATGGTAATTGTTATTATGGATTATTTTATCACAGACAAGATACACAAGTAGAAGACATTACATCCGCAGACGAGGTATACAAGTAGGCCTTACACCTTATGAACTTTCGTGGCCCAATGTGACTGCTATACCGACCTGAAAATTCGGAGGTGATTTTAGCGTCCTTTTCTCATGGATGGCGGTCAGTTGAAAAACTATTCACAATTTGGAAAAGTAAACACAAAAAGTTCTTATTATTCACAACTCTAAATGGAACCATGGAATTAATGCAAATTATTTGCAATTTGCCATGAGAAGGGGATACTGGAATCACCTCTCAATTTTTAAGTCTGTATGACAGTCAGTTTGAGTCACAAAAGTCCATAAGGTGTAAGGTCTACTCATATATCTCGTCTGTGCTTTTATTAAATAATTATAAAAGTTATGACAAAACAATAAATTACCTCCCAACTCTGTAATTGCGTACATTACCGTGAGCGACGTAAACTAAAGTAGTTAGCATTAATAAAACTTTATTTAATATCGATATACATTGGGCTTTACCTAATATATTTATAGTCGTTTATTTACAGGGGTCACTTTTTCACATAATTAATTAAAATAGGATTGTTACAATAAACTATAAAGTGATTCAAACAGCAATGAACCGGACGCGAAGAATCTGACGTAGTTTATTTCGCGAAATCGTGTGCACATTTTGCGAGTCTGATGGCAAGATGTCTCTTCCGGTTAAGTTAACTACATTTCGAGCATGTTCCGCGTGGAGGCGTTGCACGCACATGTCTTATCCGACTTTACCTCTGTTAGGTATGGCACTTGACGCATTCATGCGCATCTTATGACGATACGTTTAATTATAATTCCATAGAACGCGGGACCATGCGGGCGAAAGAATTTCTTTAAATTCAACACGCGTTGACTTTGCACTGTACAGATAAACGTCGTGAAAATTCATGTTTCCTTATAGATAACGCGATAGAAGAAGCATTCTATTTGTTGCTGGTGTAATAAATCTCTGCGCGGTGCAACATGAATCGCGGTATTTTTGCAATTTAATTTTTCAACGATCTAATATCTTTATCACAAGCACGTTTGCACATATTCCATGTTACTTTTAGGCGATTATCTACACATCACATGGTATTAGCTTGCAGAATAAATGCAGGTGATGGACTGTCACGTTTTTCAGCGATCATTTGACTATCTTGTGATCCTCTGAATATGAATTCCTTTAACTTTCTTCTTAAAGTAACAGTTTCGTTAAACAGAAAGTCACAAGTTTTAAAAGTCGTTATCCCATCCGGATGTGTCATCAGGGGGTGGTGGATCGGAGTCTGGCGGATATTCATCGAAATTCGTCGTGTCTATGGCATTTTGAATGCTTGGCATGATAGGGGGTTCAAGTGTCCTTGCTCTCAGACCTTCCCAGTTAAAACCATCGAACCACCTACACGGGGGAAAATAATTGTTAATAAATGAGTTTTTTTAGTTATATTTAGAAATTGAATTTAGTACGCTTACTTGTGTTTCTGTATTTCACTAATGCCACCTTTCTGGTAACCGAGACGTTCCGCCGCGTTGTCCCTTAAAAATAAATAAGTAGACAATATAAAAAATAGTTTACTTTCTTTTTCTTTATGATTGTTTATGCAGAGCAATTCGAAAAGTTGTTGGTCTATTAAATATATTTAATTGGTACATATACATGTAAAGAAAGAATACTTTCTTTAATTGAGGTTACCCGCGCTTTAGTAGCTCAGCGCGCCCTCTAATCAGGATATCGAGACCCAAACGAGAGGAAGATAGGATATAGAGGGAAATTGTGTAAAAGGTACATGTGCGATGATCTAAATGATCGATAGATAACATTAAATAAGAGAATAGGACTAGGAGTAAGTCAGTTAGGAAAATAGACTTAAATTGTCGTTTCTCTTTCTATAGGTAACTAGTTAACCATTGTATCTGTAAAAACTGTATATATGTTATGTATAAATTATAACCTCTTTCTATAGAGCAACACGTGTTGGTTATTATCCTGGAAGTCCTTAAATTTGTTCGTTGTCTTATAAAACGACAATTTAAGTCTATTCTCCTCACTGACTTACTCCTAGTCCTATTCTCTTATTTAATGTTATCTATCGATCACTTAGATCATTGCACATGTGCCTTTTACACAATCTCCCTCTATATCCTGTCTTCCTCTCGTTTGGGTCTCGATATCCTGATTAGAGGGCGCGCTGAGCTACTAAAGCGTGGCTAACCTCAATTAAAGAAAGTATTCTTTCTTTACATACATATATGTAGTTAAAAGCATGCGCTATGTAGAAATTCCAACTGAATGGCAGATGTCAATTATTACCTGCAAAGTTTTTTAATTAAAGCAGTTGCATTCCTTGTGATCGATCTTGGGAATTCAATAGCGTCGATTCCTTTCAATATAATATTATAAGTTTTCATCGGATCACTGCCGACAAATGGCGGTGTGCCCGTAAGGAGTTCAAACATGAGAACACCAAGAGACCAATAATCGGCGCTGATGTCGTGTCCCTTATTTAAAATAACTTCTGGTGCAACATATTCAGGGGTACCACAGAAGGTCCACGTCTTCCTTCCATGATCCAAACGCTTGGCGAACCCAAAGTCGACGAGTTTCACATATCTGACAACAATTACAAATTCCTGCATATTATCTAATTCATCATCAGTACATAACATTTACGTCAATATATATTGTGATTTTTCATCAAACTTCATTGTCACATTTTATGACTTTATTCGTAAAGAAATTATAGTATATTCTATAAATAAATGTATAAACTAGTAACTCGTTTTTGCGCTATAACTACAGCTTAAAACTAGGGTAACGAATAAAACTACAGTAAAGTTCCGATTATCCGGCATCAAGTTATCCGGAATGTCCAAATAACCGGCATATTAACTTCGACTATTCTTCGGTAAATATTACGGTTCATATTTCACACAAACAATAAAGCACAGGATTTTTATATATTTTATTTTTTATTAATAAATTATATTACTATATTACCCATGGTTGTGCTTATTAAAAATCAAAAACAACTTTTTAAGAAAAATCGACAGCGAAATCAATTTTCGGCGAAATTAAAAAATTTCACATCGTTCTAAAAAAAGTTATTTTCAGTTGCGGGGGCCAATTACAATAATTTTTAGTGAATAGACATACCCCCGAAATCCTACGCACTTTCTAGAAAAAAATTCTTTACCGAAAATATAAGGTGTGGCCAGAAGTGTGTCAGTAATTTCATTTGCTGTCTCACTTCCTTTTCCGTTCATTTTTGTAACCTGTTGGTAATGTTGCCAGTGAGACACGAAGATGATAATAGAGCTCTAGAGCCTCAGAAAATTGGTTGAAAATATCCATTGGATGTAAGGTCTACAAGTATACCTTGTCTGTGATTATATTCCTCGTTTTTATCATTTCATATGTGGTTATATTCACTGTTCAACACAAATTTTGTTTTTCCGTACCCACTAGGTGATTTTTGTAGAGCTCTGTTTCCCAAATACGAATGTGAAAATGGAATTGCTGTATCACCCTCAGTTTTTGAAAAACACGAGTTTTTGTGAAAACGGAGAACGGCTTCTACACTTCTGTTGGACAGTTCCTTCTTCAGAAATGTCTGCAGAATCAGATCCTGTGTATAAATTTCGTGTCAGGTAAAGAACTTTTCGTAAATATGCAAAAGTATTGTGTATAAAGTACGTACTTCGACACTTTTTCAATCTTTGGCGATCATTTACAACCGTTCAAAAGCACAAAATATTATAACTATCGATGTTAGCATATTCAGGAATCTCTCCTCTATCTTTTAAGATTAAGTGGAACTGTCTGATGTTTTTAATTTTCGCGTAATACCTCGTTTTTGCCCAAAATTGGACGTTTTCACAAAAACTCGTGTTTTTCGAAAACTGAGGGTGATACAGCAATTCCGTTTCCAGATTCGTGTTTAGGGTACGAAGCTCTATAAGAATTACCTAGTGGATATTGAAAAACAGAAAACAAAATTTAATTTGTAGAACAGTGTTATTTGGCATATTTGATTTTCTAGCATCGTCTCAGTCCCGAATATGCCAGATAATCGGAATTTTATTGCATACTACACTACGGAAAGTCATAACTACGGTTGCTAGGCTAATCGTTTCAATTGGTCGAAGCAAACGTTCTTACCACAGCAACGGACGATTATTATCTTTATTGTTAAATATGTCCTAAACGATTGGCCGCCTACGATTTTATGATAATGCACGGATCAATTACTTACCATTCTTCGTCTACCTACAAGTTAGGCTTGTTAGAAACTTACCCTTGACTGTCCAGAAGAAGATTCTCTGGTTTGAGATCTCTATAGATTATGTTCCGAGAATGCAGGTAGTCAAATGCTTCGACGACGCAGGCCGTGTAAAACCGCGTCGTGCTGTCGTCAAAGTGCCCTTTGTCCCTAAGCACGGTCCACAATTCACCACCTAGGCAAGCCTCCATCAGCATGTATAGATACTTCTTGTCCTTGAAGGTCTTAAATAGTTTTACGATGAAATCGCAATCGGCTTCGCCCATAATTCTCTTCTCGGACATGATGTGCTGTTGCTGTCGCGTCTCGACGATCTGGGCTTTCTTCATTTGCTTCAGAGCGAAGGATCTCGTACCGTCGCCGGCTATTTGAACTAATTCGACTCTTCCGAAACCGCCCACGCCTAGGGTGGTCAGTGGCCGAAGATCTTGTAACTTTAGGTCCCTGAATTCCTCGTTCAATCTGTGTTAAATATCGTCACGATCATCGGTTTGCTCCTTTTGCGTAATTAGGTTGTGTAAAATACAAATTTATTTTATTTATTTATTTATTCATCAATGTTTTTCTATTTTTTTAACTCTTTGCGGCACAGGATTTCAGATAATAAAATAGACCCATGTTGCATAGAAATTTTATTACGTTTTAAATTAAACAAAATTGGTATATTTTTATTAATAAAGGTATCACATAATGTAAAAACATTAAAAAAATAGAAAACCAGGAAAGAAAGATTGTCGCAATAAACCTTCCGCTTGCAACAATTGATGAACTTGTATTGGCATGTTGAATGTTGCCAACACAAGTGAATACATTTACAACATTTGTTGAACATATTACTTCACAACTGCTTTACGTAAATAAGACGGAATATGAACCTATGTGCATCCAGCTATTGCAATATTTCGAGGTGGGCCTAAAAATGTCCCAGCATGCGTTACAGTGCATCAAAAAGGTGGGACACTTTTAATCCCAGCGTGCCTCAAAGAGTTAAAACACGACGTATGCAACGAGACAATAAAGCATTTCGTTCAACTTGAAAATAGTTTTCTATTTAGCTTTATCATCCTCGCGTAGCGGCTAAATTCGCAGGAATCAGCGTTAATGCAGACTGCAACGCGCGGTTTCAGAAAAAGCGAAACGTTAACTTAATTGCCATTTTATTATCACGGTTGTACCGTAACGCGTAACTTACTCTGAGATCGTGCGGTTTATTCTTCCATCCTAGTAGGGTAAGCGTGAAACAACACACACACATACGGGGATTTAACAAACCATTCATGGCGCGATTGCAGTCGAGTATAATTAGCGTTAACGAGAGTCAACGTGGTTATTAGTAACAACGCTGTTACCAGCGCGATGGAATTACGATCCGCGAATTAAGCTAACGCGCTCACCTTCTGCCCTCCACGAGCTCGTCTTTGTACCGTGTGCGAATTTCGTCCAGGGACGAAATTAGTTGATTGAACGTTTCACGGTCTATCACCAGGCAACTTACTCCTTCCAGGTCGTCGGCGATTATGTTCGCCGTCCTGAGGTCGTCTCTGCGAACACATTCGAGCAACCACTCTTCAAACGTTCGCCACAATGAACAATTAAATGTAACATTATTCTTTCAATCTTACAAAAACACAATTCTTGCCTGTTTTTGTTCGTTAAGTAATCGATGCTTAAACGCGTTCAGTTCGTTTTTAAACACCCTGTGTAATGAATTGACACTAAAATTGAGTTTTCAATACACTCACGAAACTTTGAAATTTAACACTTTAATGGCCGCACGTATCACACGAAGATCGTTGTCCGTCACCACTGATATTGTAAACCAATGTGAGATACACGAAGATGCTAGGAGTATTATTAAAAGGAATTATAAATATAACCTCAACAAACGTAATAAGTTGAATGTATGATGAAATGGTAACTGATACGGTAGATCACGCACATGTGACAGTGGCCAACGTCTACTAGCTCGCAAAGTCACGTATACGTGATAGCGGCCGTTAAAGTGCTAATATACATAGAACCGTGCAAGTAAAAATTGAAATACATTATTATGGTAATTGTTAAATTAAGTTGCGATGGAATAATTTACCCTTGAAGGGCTTTTTCACCGAAGAAGTCGCCCTTGCCCAGCGTCCTGATGTACTTGTCCTCCGTGGAGTCGGGTTGTTTTATCGTTACACGCACTTGTCCTCTGCTTATTATGAAAAACGTGTCTCCCCTCGCTCCTTGTCTGATTATATAATCCCCATTGTTATAGAATGTCTAAAAGAAAAATACAAACAACACACTGACGTGCATGAAATATTACAAACTTCAAAGAGCAATGAAATTTTTGGGGTAGTAATTTTACCTCTTCCAAGACGTCCGAAATTTTGGTTAGTGTTTCTTCGGGCAAATTTTTGAAGATAGGAACGCTGAAACAAAGAAAGAATAAAAAATTGAAAACGGTTTACGCAATATTAGCTGTACGTTTTCGTTTTAGCAGTCTTAGTACCGTCTAATTTTAATTACAGACAAAGTTATTAATTTTGTTCAGTCACGTAGTGGATGTTTATTTATTACGATACGATCGAATTGGCATTTGTTAATTTTGCCTGTGATTAATAGGACTCGTTTCATCGCGCTTCGTAAAAGGAAGATAGGAAAACAAGGGATTTGTTAAGATGGAACCATTCGTCTTGTCTATTCCTCACGCGGATAGTTTTCTCAGTAAGCACGGGATATCTATTAGTTTAACCGTTAGCTTATTCCCTTCCACTGTAGAATATTTTTTCATTACTGTTTCGTGTTAGAAACCAAACTGTGGAATTCTTTTCTACCGCATGGTCGGAGATTATGGTTTCAGAGAACTCTAAAAACTCAATTGAAATTCTTTTTAGGTATAGAGTATCCATGTTTTCAAGATAAACAACAGTTTATTTTTTGGATAAAGTAAAATGAATCCTTGTTTGGGTTTGCTTGGAATCTGATTTTTATTTTCTCGATTATTCCTAATTAATCAGGATTTTAGATGATAAAGTATACCTAATTCTGCGATAAACGAGGTAAATTCTATTGTGCGTACAAATGGAAGTATAATCACGCATAAAAGCTTTACGTATAAAAACGATTGCAAAATTTCTTGTCCCAATCCTTTCTTTATTTGATTTCTTACTTTTTCTTTGCGTTTTATGCTAAATGGTATCGAATGTTGAATTACGTCAGACGCTACATACAAGCTTTGTTCAACAAAATTGCTGAATGCAATAAAGTTAAGTTTTATCTTATCTGTGACATTTTAACGAATTAGAGTGCTTGAACAAATGTCTCGGATTTAGTAGACGCACACGGAAATTATCAGACGTAGTATTTAATTATCAGAGGAGTAACAAGAAGTCAATAATTGTCAATGACTGAATAATAAATGAAAACTGATTTGACGCGAGTCATAAATTCTCAATCGAGCAATAAATTTTCGTAATTTTTATTCGAAGCAGTAGTGGTTTCTGACAGTCAAATTATCCTTAGTGCTGAGCATAACAACAGTAAGAGAAAAAGCAAAACGGTAAATTAGAACTCGGCGAGTAGGGTGGTGCACTTATATAATTGATAGGCTGAAGTTAATTTAACCTTGCGAAATGTCAGTGGAATATTTCGTCTCGATAAATATGCAATTGCACATCAATTAATGCTGAAGTAACTTGTTATGGAACTCGGAACATCAATTGTCATTTAGCAAGATACCGAAGGAGATTATGTATTGTGCTCGATTACGTTATGATTAATACTATAATAATGTTATTAGTATGTGCAAGGTTTGAGAAAATAATTTTTCAAAATTGTACGTTGATCGTATGGTTTCGTATGGTTGCAATTATTTGCCTTCAGTTATTAATTTATAATTATTTAATGGAAACGACTTTACCTCTTTAAGAAATCCGTGTACTCGGCTTGCCTCGAGAGGCCGGTTCTCATCATAATAGTTTGGAAGCATTGTCGGTCGATGGCCCATAATTGGCAATCGGTAGCTGCTGTTATCGTTGCTGTTCTTTTGCAGTTGTAAAGGATTGCCAGCTCACCGAGTACTTTTCTCTGCGCCAGAGTACTCAAGTACTTACCATCTCGCGACACCTCGACTTTACCCGCTGCAAACACCATTTCCCAATTAGCGTCGAAATCGTAAAATTTCGTAAAAGGGTCGACTTAATACTAATTTTCTTTTTTATTTTGCACGACCGCTCGACAATCCACTCGACGTTTTTAAATTTAATTTCCAACAGATTGTGTCACAAAATGATCCATAAAGATTTATCGAATCAGTAGTATTAGTATTGGCTGGCCTAGCGAGCATCGATGGAACTTGCAGATTAACTTTGCACGTCACGAGTGAATTTTTCCCTATTTAATCCAGTTACGAACGACTTGCGAAGTCGAAGGACCACTGACATTTCTACGATAAGCAATTAGGTCAACGCCGGTTGTCCGTTTCTAGCTAAAGTCGCGGATAGTGCAAATGCAACGTGACATTTATATGAAATATTCGCAGGGAAAGAACTTATTCCGTAAGAAATTCGCTTATAGCTCCTCGTTTAAACGTGCATTTGCAGTCACTGAGAATCGATTGTTTAATGAATAAATACAAAATTTAGAATTTTAAAATTTTATTAATTTCAATACAGTACAAAGCTTGACCATAATCTTCAAGTTTCCTGTCTAACTTAATTCTTTTGTCATTTTTCGCGTAATATTTTAAATATGGAGTCTCGTATCCACAATAAATAAAAAGAATATCACTTAACCGTACTCTGTCCCTGTTTCCTAACATACTTTGATCTCGTTATCGTTCGAAAGTCATCGCAACTTTTTATCTCTAAAGCGAGGCGAAAACAGTCCGGAAACAATTTCGCACACACTGTATACTCAGCATAGAGTCGATTGATATAATTAAACCGTTAATTTGATGTTTCCTCGATACAGTTTCACTCTGTTTCACCTAACACTGACACAGTTGACTAGAACTACACTGTGGAGCATAACTATAGCACCACTATAATTTTCAAGAGTTTTGTAGTTGTAACTAATGATTTCTAAATGTTAATAATACCACGTGAAAAGGACTAGAAAAAAGTTATAATCAATGGAAAAAATACAAAAATAACATTTATTTAACATGAAGTATGATAATAAATGAAATATTGCAATGGTGCATAACTATAGCACCAATGTATTTGGAACGTAATAATAAGGTTAAATGGCTATAAAGTGTTAAATTTCTAATTCAGTTTATTAAAGTGAGCAGTTTCAATAATGAGTAGGACCTCCTTTTTTATGTATTAATTCAAAATTACGATTGTTCATACTTGTAATGAGTTTTTTCAAAGTTTCTTCACTAATTTGATTCCACACTTCAATAACTGCTGTTTTTAGCTCCGAAATGTTCGAAAATTGTCGATTATTTCTATAAATATGCCGTACCATGACACCCCATAGGTTTTCATTTGGATTTTGGTCTGGGGAGCATGCAGGCCATTTCAATACATTGACATCAAACGTTTCAAACCATGCTGTGGTTTGTCGGCTTTTATGGATTGGAGTATTATCTCGTTGATAAGTCCATGAAATGTTGACTGTTTGCATGAATAAAAGGCAATAAATGATTTTCGAGTATTCTAATATACTCTGCACTATTCATTCGTGTAGTTGGAAAAGCTAATCTGAGCTTGCCACAGGAGCAGAATGCACCCCACACGATAAGTGTCCCTCCACCGAAATTACGTTTCGAAAAGTATTTTTGTTCTTTACGAAGGTCCCTCCAATATGAATTAAATCCATCTGGACCGTCCAAATTGAATTTTTTTTCGTCAGAGAAAATAACCTAAGTTAAATAAGGAATATTGAATATGAAGCTAAAATCTCGATTTATGAATGTCTAAACTTAACTTACATTATTCCAATTTCTGCTCATGTTTTTTCGTGCGCATTCAAGCCTGGCTATTTTGTGACGTTTCAGAAGTGTAGGTGCAGACTTCATTTTTTGTCTTATAATGTTTGAATTATGTTTAAGGACACGTTGGGCAGTCCAACGAGAAACGCCGAAATCACATTCCTTCATAATTTGTTTACAGCTTTTTAACGTATTGCTCGCAACTTTAGCATTTTGCCTTTCAGTACGAGGGGATAACTTCTTCTTAGGTCCCCCTTTCTTATTTTTCCCATACTTAGTAGGATTGCGTAAAAAATTCAGTACAACTTTATGAGATCGCCCGAGTTTACGTGCGATTTCACGTATCCCCATTTTTTGCTCTCTGTACGCTGAAATTGCACGTTGCTCTTGTTCATTAAGGTAGCTGCCACGTGGCATTGTATTAATTAACTAAGAATTCCCGGGTTCACTAAAAAAATTTCAACAGAAACCCTTGAAGTGCGTTAAAAAATGAACTGGTTCTATTGTTTTGCACCGATCCACAGTGGTCCCAAATCGTGAAATCGTGGCCAAAACCCCAAAAAATAATTTTTCGGTATGGAGGTTTTACCTGTTGGAATCGGCAGTTTAAGGATGTCTCTTTAGGGTAGGGAAAATGAAATGAGTCATATTTTTATACCTGGATGGCAATTGCGATCCAAACTTTGGCTTCGTTAGTCAGTCGTTTGTCGAGAGCGTAAGCGTCAATTCGTACCACAGAGTGAAAAGTACATAAGTTTTTTTAGAAGACATCAATTTCAATTCTGCAAAATGGATGCTGTTCCTGGAAGTACGTAGAACATTTCTGAGTACTAACATATTAAAAATTGTTATCCATTAATTTTTTAAACCGGTACATTCATTACTGAAAATAAAATGTAAAATTTCATGCATGCATCGTAAACAAGTAGGCAAAAAGTTACTCATCCTTCAAGATCCCGCTGTCATTTTTTTCAGGCTTGTATGTGATACTTTCACCTTGCAGAATTTGCAAGAATTAGCTGCAAGTTTTTGCAAGTTACGTCGTACCACCCTATATTATAATGGAGGGTGACCGCGTTACTAAATCACGCGGTTTTTTCTTGGAAACTGTGGCAGATACAAAAAAATTTTTTAAAATAAATAATGTATAATTTTGAGTGGATTTATTATTAGATTTAATAAATTTTGAAATTAATGCATAAATAATTTTTCATTATTAAATATTGTATATTTTTCAATGAACCAGTTGATCTACTTCATTATTGACTATAAATCTGCATTAAACTATTTACATGAAAAATTATTTATTTCGAAAATAGTTAATAAAATTTGAGAATTCCAAACTAAAACATTTTTTCGCATTTGCCATGTAAAAGCACTAAGAATCAAATAATATGAAGGCACTGCTGTAAGCTGTAAATTGTGCCTTATACCTGCCTCACTTTATGATAGACATAAAACATTTATGCGGTATTGCCTTTCGTTTTCTCTTCCTTTCGTTTTCATTTAGATTTTTTACTTATACAGGGTATTCGGCCACCCCTGGGAAAAATTTTAATGGGAGATTCTAGAGGCCAAAATAAGACGAAAATCAAGAGTATCAATTTCTTCACTGAGGCTTCATTAAAAAGTTATTAAAAAATTAAATTAAAAAATTTCAAATCATTCTGAAAAAATTATTTTTGTTTGCGGGGCTCAATTATAATCATTTTTGGTGAATACACATACCTCCGAAATCCGACGTATTTTTACCCTTGTAATTAAACGTATAAACTATCAGTAATAAAATTCGATACTTTTTTGGCCAACTTTACGGGATTTGGGACCACTGTGAAAAGGCGTTAAATTTATTAGTTCAACCGGCAATGTTAATAACAGAATCCAGCACAGAAAGCGACATATCTGATAATGAATATGATTCCGATGATTCTGCTTGAAACTTAGCAGTATATACACGGTCTGTCCCATTTTCGATGAGACTGCTCAAAAATAAAAAAGAAGACGCTCTACAGTGCATTTCTTCTATCGTATTTATTCGAAATAATCCCCCTCTGAGTCAATACAGCGTTGAAACCGATCATAAAATTTGTCGAAGCATGTCTGGTACTCGGGTGCCGGAATAGCGTTCAGGATGTTGGTCGAAGCCTTCAAGATGGTAGGAATCGTACTGTAAGTGTTCCCCTTCAACGCTAATTTGAGTTTAGGAAATAGCCAGAAGTCGCACGGCGCTAGATCAGGCGAATACGGCGGGTGGTCGAGCGTTATGATGCTTTTTTTGGCCAAAAACTCGCGTACAATTAGGGCTTTGTGCGACGGCGCATTATCATGCAACAAAAACCAACTGCCAACTTCCTTGTACTCCGGTCGAACACGTTGAATTCTGTTCCACAATCTCTGCGGGACACCCAAATAATATTGAGCATTCACAGTCTGACCTTGTGGAACGAATTCCTTATGGATAATGCCCTTGGAATCGAAGAAAACGGTAAGCATCGTTTTGATTCGACTCTTCTGCATCCGCACTTTCTTCTCTTTCGGCTAATCTGGTGACTTCCATGTAGCGCTCTGCCTTTTGGTGAGTGGTTCGTATTGAAAGCACCACGTTTCATCGCCAGTTACGATAGATGACATGAATACAGGGTCCTTTTTTTTGGCAGATTTCATGTCTTTGCAATGACTCATTCTCATGTCCTTTTGCTCCTCCATGAGGGAATGTGGAACAAATCGCGCGCAGATCTTTCTCTTTCCCAAATCCTCGGTCAGAATGCGATGGACCAGACTCTTAGGAATGCCAGTCATCTCCTCAATAAGTCTCGCTGACACACAACGGTTAGAGCGCAGAATTTGACTGACTTTCTCAATGTTTTCTTCATTCCTCGAGGTTCTCGGCTTCGGTGCGCGTTCGTCGTCTTCAAGGTCTTCACGACCATCACGAAATCTAGCAAACCAACGGAATACTTATGCACGGGATAGACACTGGTCACCGTAAACGTTTTTCATCGATTCGAATGTTTCTTGAGCAGTTTTGCCCAACTTAAAACAAAACTTGATATTCGCTCTTTGCTCCATAGCGATTTTTCGACAGACTGACAAAGTGGACGGTTAGTTATAATGTCGTAACTATTGACAGAACAATGGAAATGCTACGAAATTCGGGGTGAAGATAGATGAAAGATGTGTCTACAAAATTCAATAGATGAA